GCTGGATATGATTATAGCCCATGACAAAGTTACTTTTATAATTATTTATTGGCTAACATTGCATTCATGGTATAGTTAAAGGCTCTATACATTTTTAGCACCAACTAAGTTTGGTTCCAATAGAGGTCGCACTTGGTGCGATGGCAAGTGCCTTCGCCCATGAGCGGTAGGTTTCGGGTTCGAGACTTGGGAGCAGCCTCTCCATAAAATGGGGGTAAGGCTAGCCGACATTCACCTCTTCCAGACCCTGCGTAAAGCGGGAGCCTTGTGCACTGCGTAAAGAGGGAGTGGCTCTGATACCAAATTGTCACACCCCGCCTTGAGCTCCCACCACATCTCGTGCTCGACTAGCACGATATTGTCCACTTTGGGCCCCGACCATGCCCTTACGGTTTTGTTTCTGGGAACTCAAGAGAGCAGAACTTCCCAGTGGGTCACCCATCCTGGGAATGCTTTGTCCCATTTCTCGCTTAACTTCAGAGTTCCTACGGAATCCGAAGCCAATGAGCTCCCAAAAAGCCTCATGCTAGGTAGAGATGGGAATGTACATATAAGGCTTACATGATCTTCATCCCTAGACGATGTGGGATCTTACATCTCACTCCCATCTAAGCTTACTTGATAATGCTCCTTTGATCTTTAGATTAATGTGATATGAAAAATAGGGTAAGTATAACATTACTCAATTAATAAAAATGAATAAGTATCATAACATGTCAACTTGCTATTATTAAAAAAATGGTAATAACATATTTTTCTTTGCAAAAATACCCTCATTTTTTGTCAAATAATTTTTGGCCCATGGTTTATTATTGAGCGTATTTTTGTCATTTTAGTATACTTACTTGATACGGCTGCTTTGATCCTTAACTTAATTTATACGCAAAATATGGCTTCTAACTCCCATCTGGGCTTACTTGATACTGCTCATTTGATCGTTAGATTAATTTGTAGGCAAAGTCTGGCTTCTAAATTTCCAGGTCCCAGCTATGATTACTTGATACTGCTCATTTGATCCTTAGATTAATTTGTAGGCAACGCTGGCTTCTAAATTCCCATCTCAGCTAAGCTTACTTGATACTGTTGCTTTGATTTTTAGATTAATGTGATATGAAAAATAAAGTAAGCGTAACATTCCTCAATTAATAAAAATGAATAAGTATCATTAACATGTCAACTTGCTATTATAAAAAAAATGGTAATAACATATTTTTCTTTGCAAAAGACAGGTTTTTTTTTCTACTTTGATTAATATTGTCAAGTATTTCTAAATTTAGATTTGTTACCATGTCGATCAATAAGCGTACATCAATAAAATAAGAGAACTGTTATTAGTACTCAAAATTATCATCTTCTCACAAATGTATTTTTTTTTTCTAATTATAGAAAGTTATCTTTTTTCCTTTGAAAAGCCACTTAATACCGTGGTATAATGATATTTCTCTTCACTTGTAAGTGAGAGGTCTTAGGTTTGATTCTCACTAAAGGCGAGTTTGACAACATTATTGCCAGCCCATTGTGAGGCTAACCCCACCCCCTTAGTGAGATAATATCGTTTGTTAAAAAAAAATTTATAGAAAGTTTGGAATGCAAAATGAGATTTTTTTTTAGTGCCAATAACAACGCCCTAAAATAAAGGACAACTTCATTAAAAATATTCTAAAAATTCTCGCTTAGCGCCTTGCCGAGCAAGGACTAAGCGGTCCTTTCACTGTACAAAGCAGGCAATACGAAAAGAATCCAAAGCTGATGACGACACTAGGATTGAAAGGATACATTCGTCATTTTGTTGTACAAACAAGAAATAAAATAACAAAACACAAAGGAATTGGAGGGTAGAACAGTCCGCACATTGTTAATGAACAATACTTTTTTGCTTGGATTTTAGTATAGGTATGATATAACAATATCCTCGGAGGAGATGAATCCCTTGTTTCAATGTTTTTGGAAGGGGTAGTGCCACTTGAGCAATTATAAAAAAAAGTTCTTTTTTGCCAAAATGGTTCCTCATGTTAGCATAACTAACTTTGATCCATAAGATTTGAAATTAATAAAAGTGGTCCTAAGTTTGTCTACCATTAATCATTTTAATCATTCCGTGAAAAATCTCCACTAAATAAGGATAAAATGACAAAAATACCCGCATTTTTTGTCAAATAATTTTTGGCCCATTGTTGATTATTGAGCGTATTTTTGTCATTTTAGTAGACTTACTTGATAATGCTGCTTTGATCCTTAAATTAATTTATACGCAAAATATGGCTTCTAACTCCTATCTGGACTTACTTGATATTGCTCATTTGATCCTTAGATTAATTTGCAGGCAAAGTTTGGCTTCTAAATTTCCAGGTCCCAACTATGATTACTTGATATTGCTCATTTGATCCTTAGATTAATTTGTAGGCAACGTCTGGCTTCTAAATTCCCATCCCAACTAAGCTTACTTGATACTACTGCTTTGATCTTTAGATTAATATGATAAGAAAAATAAGGTAAGCGTAACATTACTCAATGAATAAAAAATGAATAAGTATCATAACATGTCAACTTGCTATTATTAAAAAAATGGTAATAAAATATTTTTCTTTGCAAAAGATAGGTTTTCCTTTTTACTACTTTGATTAATATTGTCAACTATTTCTAAACTTAGATTTGTTACCATGTCAATCAATAAGTGTACATCAATAAAATAAGAGAACTGTTATTAGCACTCTAAACTATCATCTTCTCACAAATGTATATTTTTTCTTCTAATTATAGAAAGTTTTATTTTTGCTTTGAAAGCCACTTAGTACTGTAGTCTAGTAGTATTCTTCTTCACTTGTAAGTGAGAGGTTTTAGGTTCGATTCTCACTAAAGGCGAGTTTGACAACATTATTGCTAGCTCATTGTGAGGCTAAGCCCACCCCCTTAGTGAGATAATATCGTTTGTTCAAAATTTTTTTTATAGAAAATATGGAATGCAAAATGAGATTTTTGGAATGCTAATGACAACGCCCTAAAATAAAAGAGAACTTCGTATTAAAAACATTCTAAAAATCCCCGCCTAATGCCTTGCCGAGCTAGGACCAAGCAGTCCTTTCGCTGTACAAAGCAGGCAATACGAAAAGAATCCAAAGTTGATGATAGACGCTAGGACTGAAAGGATAAATTTATCTTTTTGTTGTACAAACAGGAAATAAAATAACAAAACACAAAGGAATTGGAGGGCAGAACAATCCGTACACTGTTAATGAACAATGCTTTCTTGCTTGGATTTTAGTATAGGTATAATATAACAAGATCATCGGAGGAAATGAATCCCTTGTTTCGATGTTTTTGGAAGGGTAGTGCCACTTGAGCAATTATAAAAAAGTTTTTTTCCCCCAAAATGGTCCCTCAAGTTAGCATATCTAACTTTGATCCATTAGATTTGAAATTAATAAAAGTGGTCTTGAGTTTGTCTACCATCAATCATTTTGGTCATTTCGAAAAAAATCTTCACTAAATAAGGATAAAATGACAAAAATACCCTCATTTTTTGTCAAATAATTTTGGTTCATTGTATATTATTGATTGTATTTTTTGTCATTTTAGTAGACTTACTTGATACCGCTGCTTTGATCCTTAAATTAATTTGTACGCAAAGTATGGCTTCTAACTCCCTGCTAGGCTTACTTGATACTGCTCATTTGATCTTTAGATTAATTTGTAGGCAAAGTTTGGCTTGTAAATTCCCAGGTCCCAGCTAGGCTTAGTTGATACTGCTCATTTGATCCTTAGATTAATTTGTACAAAGTATGGCTTCTAAATTGCCAGGTCCCAGCTAAGCTTACTTGATACTGTTGATTTGATCCTTAAATTAATTTGTACGCCAAGTATGGGGTCTAACTCCCAACTAGGCTTACTTGATACTACTCCTTTCATCTTTAGATTAATGTGATATGAAAAATATGATAAGTGTAACATTACTCAATTAATAAAAATGAATAAGTATCATAACATGTCAACTTGCTATGATTAAAAAAAAATGATAATAACATATTTTTCTTTGCAAAAGACAAGGTTTATTTTATATTTTTTGATTAATATTATCAAGTATTTCTAAATTTAGATTTGTTACCATGTCGATCAATAAGCGTACATTAATAAAATAATAGAACTGTTATTAGCACTCCAAATTATCATCTTCTCACAAATGTATTTTTTTTTCTTCTAATTATAGAAAGTTTTTTTTTTCCTTTGAAAGCCACTTAGTATTGTGGTCTAGTGGTATTCCTCTTCACTTGTAAGTGAGAGGTCTTAGGTTCGATTCTCACTAAAAGCAAGTTTGAACAACATTATTGCTAACTCATTGTGAGGCTAAGCCCACCCTCTTATTGAGATAATATCGTTTGTTCAAAAAAAAAAATTACAAAAATTTTGGAATGCAAAATGAGATTTTTGAAGTACTAATAACAACGTCCTAAAATAAAGGACAACTTCGTATAAAAACATTCTAAAAATCCCCGCCTAGCGCCGCGGCTAGTCATTGCCTCAATTAATGCCTAGGTGTATGAAATTAAGAAAGGACGCTTAGACCGCCTAGGCACCCGTCTAGGTGTCGACTCACTTAGAGAGAAAATATATAACTTTCATTTTGCATTTTTTTCTTCAATAAATTGTAAGAGACTTGTTGAATACATAAATGAAATGAACACACATTATACACTTGTTCCCCAGGTTTTCATTATGTTCCCATACTTCATAATGTATATGTCATTCTATTTTGTTGTTTATGATAAAATTATATATATTTTAAGCATAAACACATTTGTTTACACGAAATGTAATAGATTTATTTAATTCCACCTAGCTGTCTAGGTGCTACGCCCCATCCTACCCCCCAACTAGCACCTAGCGTCTTTTAGAATCTTAATTAAAAATCAGCAAATTATCAGTTTATCAGCATTATATGATATCTTATTGTTGACTATTAGTATATCTATATATATGCCTGCTTGTCATCCAATTGGATTTAGGAATTGCTGGTCGCCTCCTATAAGTGATCACACATTGTTCACAAATCCTCCATTGCAATTTGCGTTGTGCTTTTATTTCAACTTCGTACTTTATAGGAAATCTGAGAGAGAGAGAGAGAGAGAGGAGGAAGGCATGAATCCCTCTCTTTATGAAGCAGCTGCAACTGGCGATGTTAGCTTCTTGGAAAAAATTAGAGACGGTCGTCTAACAGCTGATCTCTTTCATAAAACACCTGAAGAGAACAATATTCTTCACATTGCAGCTGAATTCAAGCAAATAAACTTCATCAAAGAAGTGAAAATACATCACGAATCTCCCCGGTTTTGGGCCACCAACAAGAATGGCGAAACTCCTCTACATGTTGCTGCAAGAGTAGGATGTGATGAAGTAGTAAAGTTCCTCATTGACCACACAATATCGCTACCTATTGAAGGAGTTGATTCAGAAGAGGTACCAATTGACGGTGAGGCTTACAAAAAGCTACTCCGGATGACTAATTTGGAAATGGATACAGCTTTGCATGTTGCTGTTCGATACAATCATGCTGGAGTAGTGAAGCTTTTGATGAGAGCTGATCCTGAATTGTGCTGTTCATGTTACAGCATCAAGGAATCACCCTTGTTCCTCGCTGTTAGAGCCGGGTCTACCAGCATTGCCGATTATATTTTAAACGAGATTCCCGCTCTTTTGTCTCCTTCTTTTCAGGGAACAAATGGTGTGACAGCTTTGCACGCAGCAGCCACCCGAGAATCCTTTGCCAACAAAGGTAATTAACTTCATGACACTACTTAGTCCTAGACCCTTCTTATGCATGGAATCCCATCGACATATAACTGGAACATGATCCATAAAACTGAGATATGAATCTCAGTCCAGCTACCGCTAAGCAAGGTCCTTCTTAGGAGACTTTTTAGTTGGTATGCCTTATTTCATGTTTATACTTGATTCCACAGAAAAATTTCTAATTTTTTCTATATCAACATTTTAGGAATTGTGCAATCTATGGTTTCCAGAAATCCTGGGATAATCAAAGAAGTTGATGAAATAGGGTGGACTCCATTACACTACGCATCACTGAAAGGGAACCATAAAGCAGCTGAACTACTGATTCAAAATTCTAACTCTGCTTGTTACATCCCAGACAAAATTGGAATGTCAGCTCTCCACGTCGCGGCATATGCAGGGCATACCAAAATTATTGACGAGTTGATTCGACGTTGTCCTGATATTTGCGATTGTGTCACTCAGAAAGGCCAAACAGCTCTACATGCAGCAGTTTTAGGTGAAAAAATAGATGTTGTGAAGTACGTTTTGAAGACGCCTAAGCTTGCGAGACTTATAAACAAAGCAGATAACGATGGAAACACTCCTTGGCATCTAGCTGCTATTCACAAAAATAGTAAAATTGTTGCTATTTTAAGGAGAGACAGTAGGTTGAACAGAACTGCTATCAATAAAGAATTTTTGCAAGTTAGCGACATTTTGCTCGCCAAGAACACGGGAAGAAAGGTATGCAAATCTTTTATTTATTTCCCTTGGATTTCAACTTTGAACTCTCTATCAAAGGCAGAACATATCTTAATCCAAATTCGTTACCTTTTTGTTTTTAAGTCCTGTATATGTTTATTAAAAGTGTAGTACTTTATTTATGTTTTAGGAAATCATAGAAAGTCGCAATTTTTTCAAATACCATGGAGACATTGTCGTTCCCGTGCCACATTTTCAACAAGAAATCAAGCAGGAGTTCAAGAAATTTGAATCCCAAGAGGAGAGCAGTACGTCTGAGACGCTAGTCAATACTACAAATACGAGAGAAAACTTGCAGGCTTATTCGGGTCCGACCTTCAATAGAAATGATGCGAAACTTATGGTAGCGACCTTCATTGCAACCGTTACATTTACAGCCCTTATCAACCCGCCTGGAGGGTTTAAAGAAGATGGAACATCAGTTTTAAGATAAAAAGCAGCTTACAAAGTATTTTCGGGTTTTAACGGGCTATCCTTCGCACTCTCAGTGTCTGCGATATATATTGAATCCAATCCGATATCTGTCCTACCAACTCCCGCGTCTCTTATTAATTTTTCCATTGCTGGAATGGTGATAGCATTTATTGCAGCCCTGATGGCAGTGGAGCCCAAGCGGCCCGCGCAAAGTACGGTCAAATATGTTTTGTACGGCGACGGAACCGTTGTTTCTAATACGCTCCAGCTTATTGGTGGAATTGTAGGCGCACTAGTTGGCATCTCGGTTGCGAAGCCTCTATTTCAAATAATCATGCGGAAAAGAAGGATCCACGACTTCCGGAACCACGTAATTTAATGGCTCCTGGAAGTTACAAGTAATTGGTATTTATGGAAATGTTGGGGAGTTGTTTGGTTTCAATTTAAAAATAATTTATACTTTTCAACAATAATGAATGTAACTATATTACTTTCCAATTTTCTATTACATTGACCGTCGTTACCATTCCAAAATTAGTGGAATCAAGAATTATAATCCTAAAAAAAATAGCTAGACGAATGTAAAAAATGATCGTTCACAATATTGTTGTGCTTAAGTGTGTCATAATTTAAAGTTAATCCACAACGGTTTTTCACCATCATACATACTTGTATCCGACAACGGCTATTACCAAACAACCTTTGTGTATTATTATCGTGTATTACATATATTCATCACTTTATAACGTTTGGTATGGTGTTAGACGACGGCATTTAGCTTAAAGGTGTCCTATAAGTACTAAATTAATTAGTGCGTAGCACATTATTACTTTAGTCTAAATAAAGCATTGGAATTGGCACGGTAGAAATGAACAGTGTTTTGGGGTGAATTTCAACTTATTTACAAATTTGCCACATGCTCTCTCTGCCGCTGATTTGCACACACGTTGATGATCGCGGGAACGGAATAACAATGGTAAAGCAGGTCTTTTCCGTTTCCTTCTCAAGCCCTCCTTGGCTTCTCCGTGTCGCGCACCTCGCCTTCTCTTCGTCACACTCCTTACCAGAACTCGAATCAATGGTGAGGTGCATGTCGTTGTGTAACCCATCTTCAGCTCTGTCTCTTTCACTCTTGAGATACCTGCTGTTGGATTCCATGTGCTGTTGCCGATCTACAGGTAAAGCTTCAATTTCCATATTGGGGTTCCATCTTTCTTCATTTCTGGAATTTGGGTTTTTATTTCAGTAATTTAATTGTGACTGTCAGTTTGTGCGTGCGACTGTGAGAGAGAGAGAGCAAGGGAACCAGCGATGGAGCGAGAGAAAGAGAGAGTGAGCTTGGAGGGAGGGAGAGTGATTCTGGTGCCGTACATGAACGAACACGTTCCAAAATACCATGAGTGGATGAAAGACCCAGCTCTCCTCCAAGCCACCGGCTCCGAGCCCCTCACCCTCGACCAGGAATACTAGATGCAGCTTACCTGGACCCAAGACCCCAACAGTACTCTCTTTCTCTCTCTTACATGTGTTTGTGTGGGTTTTGGTAGATTCCTTTGCTTTTTCATAACAAAAACTGAATTGGGTTTTCTGGGTTTGACAAAAAAGTGGTAATTGTGGAATCTGATATTGAAGGTTTGATCTATCAGGAAAATTATAAAAAGGGTTCAATTTAGTTTTGACAAATGATTGAGGATTTTTTGTGTGATTGTATTAGTGGTTTGGTGAATGATTGAAGATTTGAAAATGGTTTTTGCAGAGCAGACTTTCATTGTATTGGATAAGCAATTGGTTGTGGGAGAGTTCAACCATGGAGAGCCTCATGTGGAAGGTTAGCCAAATTTACAGTCAAATTTACAGTCTTTCTTCACAAAATTACCTTATGATTGGTTGCTGAGAAAAATTATGGAGACATTCAAATGATTACTTAAGAACAGTTGGTTGGATGGTTTTGGATGAAATCATGAGAAGTGTTTAGTAAATTTTGTTCTTAATTTTACTAAGATTTTGAGTTTTTTTTTTCCTCTGCAAATTTCGATTAAATTGCTTGCAATTGAACTATTTTGTAATTTTCTATAAAACTCCCTGTATATTTATTATTTGTTTCCAATAGCAGGTAATTAGGTATTGTATTTTTTGAAAACTCCGATTAATTTTTTCATGTTCTTCTTTTCTGGTAGGAAGATTAGGGATAAGCTCTGTACCCAAACTCGAGAGAGAGAAAGGGCAATCTGTTGGCGCCAAATCCCAACACGATCTCTGGAAAAGGTTGGTTTTCTTGCATTGATCCCTTTAACCTTTACGTGGTTTTTTGTCATTTTTGCATTTTGTAATTGGAATTCGACTTGGTTTCTTTAAATTTCGTTAATTACTATGATCTTTGAGTTGGGTTTTTGTTATTTTTGGACATTGTAATTGTAATTGTAATTGTAATTGGAATGGGGTTTTTTGTTCATTAATTCTTGAAAGTTGAGGTAGGATTTTGTCAATTTTGTATATGGTGGTTGTAATTGTGATTGGGATTATTTAAATTGGATCCTGATTTGCTTTTTGTTATGCAGAAAAGTGGAACACATAGCGGAAGAGGCTCAGTCTTTGAAGGAGAGTTTGGATAGGTATGATGCGAGGAATCAGAAGAGGGTGACGAAGTGAGAGAGAGGGCAGAGTTGCTTGGAAGAGCCGTATTAAACCAGAAATCGCTTTGAACTTTCTGTTTACTGCTTCAGTATCATGTATGCCTTTTGTTTTATATATGCCTATATTATTGTGATGTAGAATGGAGATGGTGCTCATGTTATGAGAATCTTCGACAAGGAGGCGCAAGCAGGGGACTCAGTTCGTAACTCTGCTCACATGCTTGAAGAAACCAATGCTATTGGGGAAACTATTCTCAGGAAATATGCAGAACAGAGGGAATTTCTAAAGGTATCACCCTATTTGTGCTCACCGCTATGCACCTCACTTTCATGATTATTGAAAAAAAAAAAACCAATGGTGAAACCGTGGCTCTGTCTATATCATTTTTGTTGAATATAAAACGTTCATTGGAGTACTTACTCAGGTTTTATAGCAAATTTTAACTACTAAAGGACAGTTGTATACTTAAGAAAATTGGTAGCTCTTCTTTGATATTAGTAGTTACTATAAATGAATAGGTTGAGTTAACGTTTGAGATGAGCATATGTGCCGCAAGATAAGAGAGAATCCGAGAGGAAATAGAGAGAATAGGAAAAGGAATTTGTATACAGTGTTTGTTAATTTGATTTTGCTAAATATTAATTTAACTGTAATTGTTTGCTTTGTCTTTTAGGTTTTTGGAATTCTAATGTTTGGTGGTTATTTTATGTTTCGATTGAAGTATTTGCTAATGCCCAGTTTGTTAACGTGGTCACAATGTTAATTCCTTTCTTTGCTTCACAGTAGATATGAGCATCCTCCCTTCACTTCCTAGATCATTGGTTGGTTCTTCTTGCTTGGTTTAATTGGGTAAATTATTAATTTCATGTATTGATACAATCTCATGTGAGAAATTAATAAAGCTTGCATTTTTAATTTGTTGGTGTGTTATTATTGATTAGTTGGTTTGATTGAGTAGTTATATATTAATTTTTTAGCAATAACGTACTAATGGCATTCCAGAGCTGGTTATCTAACAAATTTGGTAGCAAAATAATTTCAATGTTGGCGCTTTGTGGATTTTGCATATTGTTACGGCTTCTTGAGACCTCATCATCTGTATTCTATGTGTTTCCGTTTTGTGCAGACGATAGTTCAAATGTGTCAATGGTTCTCGAAATGTGATTACAAGTTTACGTACATTCAGTCTACCAACAACATTTCTTTGCACACAACTCAGACACATGGATATGTTCCAATCTCTGCGACAAGCGAGGCCACTACCATAGGCGAATATCTTCATACATGTCAGTTCCCTTTTCTCACCCTCTTCATGTTTTGTCCAATATTATGTTTTTTATCTGATTTCATGTGTTTTCTTGATGCTTTTCCATTCTTTGATATAGGTAATTTGTTATGTTTTCATGATCTGGGTCTTTTTTCAATTTGCATTTTGGTTGTCCAAGATTTCTAAGTTTTTGTATAAAAATATAAGAACAAAACTGCACATCGAGGAGTTTATGATGAACTTTTTGGAGTGACACGGTAACACTTCGCTTTAGGAATATGTAAAACTACAAATCATTCTTAGATGTTGCAAGTTTGAGGTGGGCAACGGAGAGAGGGTGAGGTTTTGGGAGGATGGGTGGTTAGCAGGGGGACCACTGAAGGAGCAATTCCCCAGATTATTCCTACTATCGAGGAAGCACAGTCATAACATCTCGAGCTTCGTAGAAGTTTCGTCAAATTCCTTGAGTTGGAACTTTGACTTTAGGAGAAATCTGAATGAGATGGAGATAGAAGAGGCGGCCACATTATTACAAAAAGTGGAAGAGGTTCGCTTGTCTCCATCAAAAATGGATAACAGAAGGTGGAATCTGGAAGCTTTAGGTTTGTTCACATGCAAATCTTATCGTTCATTACTGAGCAACAATGGGATTGTGCACTATTATCCACCCTACTCTTAGATTTGGAAATCAAAAGCTCCTCCAAAGGTCAAAATACTTGTATGGCTTGTGGCCAAAGGGAATCTCAACACTCGCGACAAAATTCAAAGGAGAAACCCTCTTATGTGTTTATCCCCACATTGTTGTAGTTTGTGCAAAGCTAAGGAAGAGAGTGTAAATCACATCTTTCTTCATTGCTCCTACTCGATCCAATTGTGGTGGAAACTGTTTCAGGAGGTTAAAGTAAGTTGGGTCATTCCTAAAGGGTGTTTCGAGCTACTAGGTACAAATTTTAAGGCACTTGGAAAAGGGAAAAAATCCAAAGCTTTGTGGGGTTGCCTGGTATCGGCAATTTTTTGGAATATATGGCTGGAACGCAACAAAAGGATTTTTGAAGACTATACCGGAGTGGGGGCAGAAGTACTTTTGGGGAGAGTAAAATATTGGGCAGCTTTTTGGGCTTCGGTCACTAAAGAGTTTAATAATTGCTCTCTATCTCAAATATTGTGGGATTTGTTAGCAGCAGTTAAGTGAGCTAGGTCTAGAAATGGCTGCTGTAGCCAAATCCTATTGGGATTTTCCTTTCTAATATAGTTGGACTTCTTATTCACTTCTGTGTATTACTATATTCTTTAATAAAATTGTTTCTTCTAAAAAAAATAATAATTCCTTACCTGTGTATAATGAACAACTTGGACTTTACCATAAATTAATTTAATTTCTATTGCAGCAAATCTGGTCATTTTCTGTGTAAGTTTCCCCTCATGGTTCAGTTCTGGCATTCCCCTCAAAACATCGTTTGTGTCATTTCCTCTCTTTCCGTGTTCAGCTTACATACCTTACGTATATATTGGAGACTACGACAATAAAAGATGTTAGTTGAATGTATATAAAAGCCAAGCTGCTTATCTTATTGACCTCATTCACTCATGTGTCCCTCTGTTAGTCCTCAACACTTTCTGTTTTTAATTACCTGTTGAAATGGCTACCTTCACTGCAAGACACATATTATGTGTGTGAACTACATGTTTCTTCTGTTTCTTAAGGAAACAGGCCCAAATGTGTTGGTTTTGGCTGGGAAGCCCGGCTCTCAGTGAGGCCCAAATTATTTAACTACATTTTTTCCCATCTAAGATTACAATCCGATGGTGGGGATGGTCTATTAAGAAGGGCAATTTTGTCCTCTCTGTTTTGGGTGAGATAGAGGGTCAACGGGCAGCTATCATTTGATGCCGTTCAATTAGGGTTTCGGGGAGGGTTTGCGAGAGAGAGAAGGGGGGCGGGAGAGAGAGGGAGATAGAGGCAGAGAGAGAGAGAGAGATGGCGATGGAAGGAGAGCGAGGGGGAAGGGTAGGGGTCTCGGCACTGTTGATGCAGATGGGAGGGTCAGTATGGTCAGAGAAGACCATATGGGTTGTCGGGATTTCAGTGAGACGGGGTAGGGGTCATCAATAAACCCTACTAAGAGTGGGGTGTGCAGGATCTTGCGCTGCATGTCTCAAATCCAAAGATAAGTTTCTTTTTTCTAATTGTATTCTTTAATGTTGCCTTGGATTTTCTGATTTTTTTAGTATGTTAGGTCTGGTTTTGGGAGATTTGTCATTTTCTAGAGAGAGATGGATAGGGAGATAGAGATAGACAGAGAGAGGAGAAAGCATGGCTGTGTGCATTTGTTGGGATTAATTAATGGGTTAGTGCGCAGGGTCGGTGAGAAGAGAGTCAGAGATGGGTGTATGGCAGGTTATGGCCTTTCGGTTTTTCCTTCTGATTCAATAGGTTATGCACTGTTTGACAATAATGATTTGTTGTTTTGTTTTCCTTTTGCTTTGTTAGAACCATCATTCGATTTTTGGGTTTCACTGTCCTTATTTCTGTGCTTCTTCAAAAATTTCTGGTGTTTGCTTCTCATTCTTCTGTTGGTTGATTTTTTTTTCCCATTTCTTGGTTCCTTATGTATTTGTTGGTTTTGTCTAATTTTTGGTTGTGGGATGATGCTTGCAGGTGAACTAGGTGCACGGTTTTTTGGGACGAGTTAGGAAGATCCACATGAAAACAGCATAGAAGATAGAGAACTGGTATGCTGCTTTATCTTTCTGTGGGATTTTTATGTTTATGTTCTGCTGCTAAGAGGATTTTAAAATGTTCTAAATCTGTTTTGTAAATGTGCTTAAAGATTGCACATGTTCTTGAATATTAGCCATGTTGTTTGGATTGAATATGTGATTGAATATTCGAGAAGATACCATCTTGCTTGATTTCAATTAAAGACTACTAATTTGATCAGCTTATATAAAGTCTGTTTATGTTTGAGATGTATTTTGTTCGAATCTCTAAACTGAACAGTGCATCAATAACCTCTAGGTCTGTATCATGCCTGGTGAGTTATCTGTGAACATCACTCTAATATATATATATATGGACTCATATAAGGAGTAGTAAGGTAATTAAGCTTCACACAGTAATTAGTGATGTTAACAATGAATAAAACCTGATCAGTCTCCTTCCTCTCAAACAAGTTTCTCAGTAGAAACCTTCCTCTTTGACAGACATACAAATGGAAGCAGCATCAATGGGTAGTTGTTGTGTTGCCCTAAGATAAAATTAGGTGTGTGTTTTGGAAATAAAGGGAATTCATTCCACAGATCTGTACGTTCATATACGAACTATGCAAACAGAGCCTTTTCCTGTGAGATTTTAAGAACTGTGAAAGATACCGCATTCACAGCGGATGAATTTTCTGTTTTATTATTTTTTGTAGCTAAATAGTAAATTAGGCAAAGTTGATTTAAACTAATTTATAATGTTCATAGATTGGATTAGATCTGTATATGTTTATTTTAAGGAGAATATGTTCTTTAGTGAAGAAAAAGAAAAGGTTGATTGTTCTGTTACATTTCTATAATAATCTATATGATCAAAGTGGTGAAAGTTGTTTATGCGCACTTTTTACCGGATCCAAAGAGAATATATACTCGAATGCTTTAAGGCAACTAAAACTGATCTAATTTGCATCACAATGATTTGTTTTCATAATTTGGTTGTATCTGAAAAGAAAAGAAAAGAAAAGAAATGCTTGAATCAATCACATAGTTATAAGACATTGTAAGGTTGAGGGTTTGATTGATAGGAGTGGAGACTCGGTTTGTGCCTCAAAATATACTCTCTTCTCTGTTGTGTGCTTGAATGCCTCGGATCTGTGACTCTGGATTGCTGAAAATTAGGTTTTTACACCCCAACTTTGAATTTTAGCATATTTTTTCTACGGATTAATGTAATCACAAGATTATTTTGTTGATTTTTATACATACGTTTGTGGATGAAAGGTTTAGGTGCTCTTGAAGATGCCCACCCTAATTTTTTTACACCAAGTGGTGATGGCAACCCAGGCATTCCAACTTGCCCAGGTGCTTCAATCTTTTCAGTTTTTGGTAATTTTCGATTGCTGTTTGGTTGTTGAGAAAGAGAGGGAAAATAAGAGAAATTTACATCCCCGTAATTAAATGAAATATCAGAAAATTACTTTCCCTTTGCTTTGTTTGTCAAATATTATGCTTATATCTGTTTAATTTCATTTTCTATCAGCAAAAGAACTGTGATACCAATGTACTAATGGGTACTGTTTCAATTTCTATGTTTACTCATCTTTTCCCAAGGAAATACTACATTTAAGGAAAAGCCTGAAATAATGTTGTCGAGTGTTATACTGAAGCTATCAGATTGAACATGATGTGTGCAACTTATGATTGCAACCGTGCAACTGCTTACTTGGAGGTAATAGTCATTCTATTGCATTCATATCTTTAGAATCTTTGTTTTTATAACTATTGGTGAAAGCACTGCAGACCAAATCATGTTATATATGCTTATTGTAAACAGTTTTGTTTGTAAAGGGACAGCTGGGTGGTTTGGCATTAGTTGCTGTTATCCAGATTTTGTATCTTTATGTGGAAATGAGTCGTAGCTGGTAAATGAGAAGCAGAGTAAGCAAATTACGGAGATACCTCCAGAAGAGTACAAAATGCCACGGGTATGGATTGACTTATAAATGACTGGTGAGGGTAAAATAAAGTATGTTCCTTTTACCCTTTTGTTATTTGTGGATAAAATAATTTATGTTCCTATCATGGTTTCTTTTTATTCTCCAAAAATAGATTTTAATATGCTGTTTACTGAATTTTCAGTCCTTGGAGTGAAGCTCCTTATAAGGATGCTGCAAAGAGAACGGCATGTGGGAATTTACCTCTTAATGCATTTTTGTCTGAGGTATCTTCGTTTTCATTGCTACCCTGTTTAAATTAGCTTACATATGCTCTTCATGATTTTTTTTTTCCATTTATTTTGGATGATATTCTTTGTTTAAAGAATCTCCTTAAGCCAATTGTAAATTGTAACTATATCTTTGTTTTTTTTTTTGTGATTCCAGTGGGCCCTCATGACACTGTTAAATCCAAACTGAAGTTTGGCGAATTTGTTATATGTTGGATACAATGGCAGTTCTGCTTCAGCTATCCATGTAGGGCGCCCATGCGTCAATGATCGTGGATTGCTTCAACTCCGTTTCCATCCCCTTTTCTTTCCCTCTTTTCCTCTCTCGACTCTCTCTGCAACCATCCGTCAAATCCCCTCATCCCTCCATTTTCTCAGCAGTACATTCCTATTACGTTCCAACCGTTTCTGCGAAAAAGCACTGTAAATTCGTCAAAAAATCTGAAACAAATAGACACGTTTTGAGGAGGACAAGGTGAAGAAAAAAAAACAAGGCGATTGGTGTGTATGATGTGCGCTTCAGAGGTTTTCTACGACCGGAGGTCTTGCTACAACAGCCGAACCGCCACCAATCTAGGGTTCGACTCCCTCCCTCCTCCTCCGACAGTTGCCAGTCACAACCTTAATCATAGTCGCTGCCACCACACCTACCTCCCGGTAATTTCGTAATTTGCAATTCAATTTGGTAATTGATCGAATCGTGTGTTTGGGTTTAGGCTTATCTTGCGTTTGGGTTTGTTTGCAGGAGCGGGCAACGATTGGGCTCAAGCAGGGTGGGATCCACCAGGGTTCTGGAAATAGGGTCGCCAGAAGCAGTGGCACTTTGAGCGGGAGCGAGAGACTTCCTGGGTCTGTCTGCTCGCCAGGGAAAGGCTGTTGGAGAGGCTGAGACGGATGCCTCAGTTCTTCAATTTAATTCGAATTATTTTTTTACCTAGAAAAGCCAGTGTTTCCTGGTGAGTTTTACAGCTTTCTCAATGTTTTGTGATTTTGGATTTGCAAATTTGTTTTCTTTTCAATTTCCTTTTGTGATTTTGGGGGTTTTGTTTATCGATTCTCTCACTCAGCTCTCAGCTCTCTTTCTCACTTTTGAGATACATGCCATTAGATTCCGTTTGCTGCTGCTGATCTGTAGGTAAAACTTCAATTACCATATAAGGTTTACATTTTTCATGATTCCTTGAATTTGGGTTTTAAACAATGGAAATACTGCTAGATTCTTATCATTATGTGCAAATTACTGGCAATTTGGATTGGTGCCTGAGATTTAGAGAATGGCTCGCAGCTTTATTTTCTTTTTCCTTCATTATTACTGTTTTCAAAATTTTTATTGCTGGGTATTGGTAATTTGTAGTCTGTGAGGGCTTCAATCTGTTGGAATTTTGAATGGTTATTGCTTCATCAGAATTTGGCTGACCCAAATTTTGAATTAGAAGAAACCCATTTGATTAATATTTTTGGTGGATTGGTTCTCTGTGTTTTCTAACTCCGTCTATGTAAGTTTATCTTACATTACCGGTCCCAAGCCCGGATAAAGGAGGAGGGGGAGGGCGTCAGGTAGTCGACAGCTGGCACTCCTCGGTTACGTCGAATCCTTATGAAAATGAATCCAGAACGAAATCACGCTAAAGCTAGGACGTCACCCGTAAGTGGCGCGCTGTGTGGTCCGAGCATAGTGATAAATGAGCAAGGGTCGCTGTATCTCCATCGGCACTTGGATGCAGTGTTAAATGAGCAAGGGGGCCATAGAAACTTCTTTTCGAACGACTCCACTCAAAGTTGTTTGGGAGCATATGCTCCTATCAACTTTACACAGGACACACAAAAGAAGTACTTTGATCCTATCAGACAGGGGAAGGTGAAGAAGCTAGGATAGAAGGATAAAGTTCAAGAGAGTAGAATGCGTTTAGGAACGTGGAATATAGGAACCTTAACGGGAAAATCTATGGAAGTAGTGGAAGTTATGGTGAGGAGAAGGATAAATATTATGTGCCTACAAGAAACTAAGTGGGCTGGTCTTAAGGCAAAGGATCTAGAAAACTCAGGGTTTAAGCTCTGGTATTCGGGCACAAATAGAACGAGAAACGGTGTTGGCATCATCGTGGACAAGACCTTGACACAAGATGTTGTAGATGTCAAGAGGGTAGGAGATAGAATCATGGCAATCAAGATTGTAATAGGACAAGAACTCATCAATGTGATTAGTGCGTACGCACCTTAAATAGGGTTGGATACGAGTTCGAAGGAGAAATTTTGGGAAGACCTTGGAGACTTGGTGCAAGGAATTGCTCAGACGGAGAAGTTATTTATAGGAGGAGATTTAAATGGACACGTGGATAGGGAGACAGGCAACTATGGAGGTTTCCATGATGGCCATGGTTTTGGGGAGAGAAACGAGGATGGGGAAGCTATTTTGGATTTTGCAATGGCATATGATCTCTTCTTAGCCAACACCTTCTTTAAGAAGAGAGAAGAACATGTGATCACCTACAAGAGTGGGTCGTCAAAAACACAAATAGATTTCTTCTAATGAGGAAAGGGGATCGTATAACTTGTAAGGATTGCAAAGTTATTCTGGGGGAGAGCTTGGCTAATCAACATCGCTTGTTGGTGATGGATGTACATATCAAAAGAGTGAGAAAAAAGAATAAGACTTGGAAGTACCCAAGGATTAGATGGTGGAATCTAAAAGGAGAAAAACAAGCCATTTTCAAAGAGAAAGTAATCACCAGTGTGTGGGATAGAGAGGGGGAAACTAGCCAAATGTAGGATTCCATGGCTAGCTGTATCCGAAAAGTAGCAAAAGAGGTATTAGGAGAGTCCAAGGGCTTTGCTCCACACCAAAAGGAATCTTGGTGGTGGAATGAGGAGGTACAAACAAAGGTGAAGGCTAAGAAGGAATGTTGTAAAGCCTTATACAAGGATAGGACCGATAAAAATGGTGAAAGGTATAAAAGAGCGAAGCAAGAGGCGAAGAAAGCTGTGAGAGAAGCTAAGTTAGCGGCTTATGACGATATGTATAAGCGACTAGATACCAAAGAAGGAGAGTTTGATATCTATAAACTAGCTAGAGCAAGGGAAAAGAAGAGAAGGGACCTAAACCAAGTGAGGTGCATCAAGGATGAGGATGGAAAGGTTCTTGCTACAGAGAACGCGGTCAAAGACAGATGGAGAGGTTATTTTCATAATCTTTTCAATGAAGGACATGAAAGGAGTACTTCTTTAGGGGAGTTGAGTAACTCAGAAGAGTGTAGAAACTACTCATTTTATCGTTGAATCAGGAAGGAAGAAGTGGTTGTAGCTTTGAAGTAGATGAAGCATAGAAAAGCAGTGGGCCCAGACAATATACCGATTGAAGTGTGGAAAGCCTTGGGAGAGACAGGTATAGCATGACTCACTGACCTTTTCAATAGGATTTTGAAAACGAAGAAGATGCCAAACGAGTGGCGAAAGAGCACTTTGGTGCCTATTTACAAGAATAAGGGCGACGTACAAAATTGCATGAACTATAAGGGTATTAAGCTAATGAGTCATACAATGAAGCTCTAGGAGAGAGTCATTGAGCATAGATTGAGGCAAGAGACACGGGTTGTGGACAACCAATTCGGGTTCATGCCAAGGTGCTCAACCATGGAGGCAATCTATCTCTTACGAATATTGATGGAAAGATATAGAGATGGAAAAAAGGATTTACACATGGTCTTTATAGATTTGGAAAAAGCGTATGATAGGTCCCAAGAGACATTCTTTGGAGGATTTTAGAAAAGAAAGGAGTACGAATAACATATATCCAAGCTATAAAGGATATGTATGAAGGAGCAAAGACTGTCGTAAGAACTCATGAAGGACAAACCGAAAGCTTCCCCATAACTGTAGGATTACATCAAGGCTCAAATTAAGTCTTTACCTTTTTGCGTTGGTAATGGATGAGTTAACGGGACATATTCAAGATGATATTCCTTGGTGTATGCTTTTCGCAGACGATATAGTGTTGATAAATGAAACTCAGGAAGGGGTAAATGCGAAGCTTAACCTGTGGAGAGAAGTGTTGGAATCTAAAGGTCTTCGCCTAAGCCGATCAAAGACATAATATATGGAGTGCAAGTTCAGTGCAAATGGAGGCCAAAATGAGTTAGGGGTGAGGATCGGAGATCAGGAAATACCAAAGAGTGACCGTTTTCGCTACCTAGGATCTATCTTGCAAAAGAACGGAGAAGTTTTCCTCACTCGGTGACTTGGATTTTTCAAGTCTTCAACCAAGAAGTTTTCCTCACTCGGAAAATTAAGGGAACACTACCTCATCCTACATGCTTCACTCACGAAGCTTCAACATACAAGCTTCAACAAAAGAAAAATTCAAAGAACTTAGTGAAGAAGATTTTGGTGTATTTAACACAATACGTTGAAATGAAACAAAGCTTATTTATTGATATCTTCGATAAGTTACAAATATGTACATATACATGAGTCAAAATAAACAAACAAGAGGGAGCCTTTACAAAGGTTGCTTAGGAGAAGTCTCAGCAGTCGGTAGAGCCCCAAAAAGAGAAAACACCAGAGGGGGATCATTCGGAATCTTAGTACTGGACAGAACCCTAGAAGGAAGAGGCATCAGAGGTTAATCATTTGGAGCTTCATTACGCGGTACAGCCCCATAAGACGAAGGCAATAAATGCCTTTAGAACAAACCCACAAACCTCTGATGATCATGTAAAATCTGACCATCAGATTCCTTCATCTGGTCAAGCTTCCTCTTCATGTTTGTAGCATAGTCATGTGCGAGCCGGTACAACTGTTTATTCTCATGCTTGAGCCTTCTAATCTCCTATTTAAGACTCATCACTTCAGCCGCCAATGATTCAACTTGGCGGGTTCGAGCAAATAGGCGTTGTGCCATATTAGACACAGAACCTGCACACTGAACACTGAGAGCCAGAGAATCCTTAACAGCCAACTCATCAGACCGTTTAGAAAGTAGTCTGTTATCTTTGGGAGTGAGAAAGATGAGCGCCATATGTAGTCTGTTATCACACCCAACGGTAAGAGGACTAGTAGGGGATAAGAAGGATGAGCGCCATATGTTGTCTGGAGAAGGCGTGGTTGCCTCTTCAACAAGGTTCAAGTCAAAACGACGGTCGGAGGGGCCAGACATTTTCAAAGGTGTTGAAGAGAGAAGAGGTCGGACAAATCAAGATCTTAGAAATGTAAGAAGGGAGCTTCTACTGGTGGAGATTCAAGTGTGCTTTGGAACTTAATGCTAGCCTCTATAAAAATCTGCACTCGACGGAGCTTCAGAAATCGAAGAGGCGCCTACTCAGAAATCGAAAAGGCGTTTGCTTTCTCAAAAGCTGGGCTGCTCAGAGACCATGAGGGCCGATCTCAAAAATCGAAGAGGCGTTTGCTTTCTCAAAAGCTGGGCTGCTCAAAGACCACGAAGGCCAATCTCAGAAATCGAAGAGGCGCTTGCTTTCTCAAAAGCTGGGCTGCTTAGAAACCACGCGGGCCGATCTTAGAAATCGAAGAGGCACCTGCTTTTTCAGCCTTATCAGCACCTGTTACATGCACACTCAACTTTGCGTAAATTACGGGCATTCTGTCGAAGATTTCTGGTGAAATAGAAAGCACGTGAATGTTACTGTTCAATCATCCACTTTCTACACGCAACATCAGTTCACGGGTACCACAGATAACTTTGCCAAAGATCTCTGACAAAGTTTAGACACGTGAAGCTTGCAGCTTCCATTACATCGCTATGACCAAGAAGGGTAAAAGAATTGCAAAGAAACAGCATTAACAAAGTTTAGACACATAAATTTTGAAGGTCTAACTACCATATTATTACCCACAAGGGTAAAGGAACAGCACCACTGCTGGATAATTGGAAAGTCCCTGTGTGTCATCCTCTGTACTCCGTGCCAAGGTAGACTAGCAAACATGCTCAACTTCGAGAGCCAAATCTCCTTGGATAAAGCTTGTCTGTAATCTTCACACCGCTTTCTCAACTTCAAGAGCCAGATCTCCTTGGATAAAGCTTATCTGTAATCTTCACACGCAACATCAGCTTTCCAGATACCACAGATCACTTTTTTAAAAGTGCTATGACAGAGTTAAAACACGTGAAGCTGGCAGCTGCCACTACCGTGCTATGACCAAGCAGGGTAAAGGAATAGGATTACTACTTGTTGTTAGGGAGACTCCTATATATGTCGACCTCCATCCTCAACGGACAGGCAGACCTGCAAAAATGCTCAACCCTTCCTCATATCTGAGAGGGCACTCCCAACGAAGCCTCTCAAAATACTCAGCTTTCTTTCCCCCCGAGAATACCTTTGCAAACAAGCTACACCAAAGCAAGAATATCTCATATCATCAGGGTTAAAAGCAAGAGTATCCCATATCATGCTTTTTCCCTGTCTTTTCCTTTGGCCTTGTTCTTACCTGCAAGACAAGGAGAAAGAGAGCAATCAGTCAGCACTTGGAATCAAGCTTCCAGTTCGGAACTGACTGCCTGGAACCCCTTACCTGATTACTTACCTGGCATTGCTCTCGAGTACTCATCTTCAACATCTTATGCTTCCAGAGAAGATACCACATCTGCTTGAGGAACAGATAGGGCAAGTGAGAAGAATACAAGGAAGCATGTGGAGACAAGCGTAACAGAACACGTGCCGATACATCCACTACTTTTTCAATAGCAAAAGTATCCTATATCAGCAGGGTCGAACGTACTCTAGATTTGATGGACTTGTTTTGACCCTCAAATTCTTCAGTCGGCCTTATACTCTGGAGGAAACCAGAAAACCTTCATGCCCAGTTCAAGAATAAGCCTGTGGAAAGTTACTTCTTCAAAAGCAAAAGTATCTCATATCACCTATTCTTCTTTTCTTCTTTTTATCCTTCATGCTGCCTGTAAGATAAGGAGAATGAGAACAATCAGCCGGAACTCGAAATCAAACTTCTGATCTGGGACTGATTGCTTGGAGCTCTGATTGCTTACCTTGTCTGTCACCTCTTTCAGCAGATCCCCTAGCTCGGCGACTTGGGGGACTTCTACTACATGGTTTGTATCGCGCTTGACCAAGCTTGAAACTACAAGTAAGCTTCAAGTGAAATTGATACATTACCTTGTGCATCTCCAACAGTTAAAGATACCACCCCTGGATGGAGGAAGAGTACTTCCAGAGAAGATGCCACATTTACCTGTGAGACAGATAAGGCAAGTGAAGACGATACCACACTTCGGTACTTAGAAGTTTCGTGATTACGAGATCACTCTCCCATAATATTTCCTAATGTCATTTGTACTAAATCATTCACTTGTACTCACTAAAGGAGAGTTTGAACCTAGGTACTGTGTAAACTTTTCACAATTAATGAGAACTCCTCTACTCTGTGGACGTAGCCAATCTGGGTGAACCACGTACATCTTTTCACAATTAATGAGAACTCCTCTACTCTGTGGACGTAGCCAATCTGGGTGAACCACGTACATCTTGTGTTTGCTTTCCTGTCTCTATTAATTTACATACTTATCCACACTAATGACCGGAGCAATCTAGCGAAGATCACAAACTTAATACTTTCTGTTGTACCAAAGTCCTCACTGCTTTTGTGCATCAAAAATCCGTAAGTCCTTACCTTTTTGCGTTGGTAATGGATGAGTTAACAGGACATATTTAAGATGATATTCCTTGGTGTATGCTTTTCGCAAACGATATAGTGTTGATAGATGAAACTCAGGAAGGGGTAAATGTGAAGCTTAACCTTTGGAGAGAAGTGTTGGAATCTAAAGGTCTTCGCCTAAGCCGATCAAAGACAGAATATATGGAGTGCAAGTTCAGTGCAAACGGAGGCCAAAATGAGTTTGGGGTGAGGATCAGAGATCAGGAAATACCAAAGAGCGACCGTTTTCAATGCCTAGGATCTATCTTGCAAAAGAACGGAGAATTTGATGGAGATCTCAATCATAGAATACAAGCTGGATGGATGAAGTGGAAGAGTGTATCCGGCGTGTTGTGTGACCGTCGTAGGCCACTAAAGCTCAAGGGAAAATTTTATAGGACGGCAATAAGGTCAGCGATGCTGTATGGCACACAATGTTGGGCGGTGAAGCATCAACACGTAGGTGTAGCGGAGATGAGGATGCTTCGTTGGATGTGTGGGCACACGAGAAAGGATGAGATTAGGAATGAGGATATCCGAGGTAAAGTAGGAGTAGCCGAATTGGAAGGAAAGATGAGAGAAAATCGGTTACGGTGGTTTGGACATGTGCAAAGAAGGCCTACTGACGCTCCGGTTCGAAGATGTGACTACGGGACAGAGGTTCAGGGCCGAAGGGGTAGAGGAAGACCTAGGAAAACTTTGGAAGAGACCCTAAGAAAAGACTTAGAGTACTTGGATCTAACGGAGGACATGACACAAAACCGAGCGCAATGGCGTTCTAGGATTCATATAGCCGACCCCACTTGGTAGGAAAAAGCTTTGTTGTTGTGGTTCTTTGTGTTTTCTCTGTTATTTCTCCCCCAGTTGGAAAGTGGAAGCCCCAACTTTTGAGCTCAGAGCTTGAATTTCTCAATCGTTCGTTTCTCTGCACTCTCATCAGTCATTCGTGATCCTATTTCTGAAGAATTGGGTAATTTTCCAGCTCTATCAAGTAATACTCCATTTAATTGCTAATTGAGGTTTGTTGTTTCTCTTTTTCGCTCTTTCATTAGTTCATTGGCTTTGATGTTGAGCTTAAGTAAATGGGAAATCATTAATTGGCATTGTTCAAGATATAATTCTGTGTTTTTGGATTTGTGAAACGATTTGGCTAATGAGGATAGTGATTAAGATAAATTTTTCATTATGAAAGAGAACCTTGTTCTTCATTTGCCTACAGTTTTTACTACAAAGTTAAACTACTGTGTTTTTGTTCAATTGACTACAACTCATTCTGCAGTTTGCTTCACAAACCTCTACGGTTAGCTTTCATACAGTATGTTGCAAGTTTGAGAATATCTCTACATCTTAATTTATGCTCTCTCTGGTTGCTTCAAGTTTGTAATTTTATGTGCTACACTGCCACTTGATTTGATTATAAAAATGTAAAACAAAATCCGTCCATGATTTACAAATTTGTATTCGATTGTTGATGTTTTTCCAGTGTAAGGCATATGTTGCACAAGTGAGGTATGTGCTGCAGGGCATATATTTTGTCGTCTTAACTGCAGCGGCAAAATATGTGTACTGCAGCTTGCTTCTGTTTCTTCAGTTTCGTATGCAAACAAACCTTCTAAATTTTTTTGCCTTTGAACAGTTGTGGTTACAAAATTAGCTACTTAAACAAGTCCTCAACACTTTCTATTTTTAATTACCTGTTCAAATGGCTGCTTACACTGCATGACACATATTATATGTGAACTAAATGTTTCTTATGTTTCTTAAGGAAACATAACTTTTTGGGAAACCATCTCTTTCTAATCAAAGACATTCAGTTTCTTCCCACTCATTGTACAATGTGTTTATATGCCAACTCACTTGAATGTATATAAAAGCAAAACTGTTTATCTTATCGACCTTATTCACTCATGTATCCCTTTGTTTGTTCATAATTGTGTTGAATTTATTCAACTTAAATGTGTTTTATTCATCTGATTACGCTTGAACCAGTTGGTTCTCGCGGCTATGCGCGGGCCTAATTTCTAGTATATACTAAAACTGGGTTGGGAACGGCACTGTTCATTAATAATGCCGGGACGGAAATGCCCTCAAAATAATTGTCTCAGCTGTGTTTCTCTCGGCTTCTGTACAGTGAAAGGTCTGTTTTGCCCTTTTGATTCCACGTGTCCATCATCCGTGGATGTTTTGGCTTTGGTTACTCTGGATCTTTCTTTTGCTTTCGCCTATTCTCTCTCGCATATCTCCATTTGCTTTGTTTCTGGCTGTCCTTTTTTCTCCGCTTTCGCTTCTGTTATCTTCATCGTGTTGCTTCGTTGTTCAAAACGTGGACCATTTTGCTTAGTTGTTCTTCGATTAGTGGTCACAATTAATTTCTCTGCCTTTTTGGTTCGATTCCAATAATTTTTTTGGGTTTTTGGTTCGTTGGATCCGGGTTTTCCAAGTGAGTTTTACATGTATATTACCGCACGGGCTTTCGATTTTCCATGTTTTTTTGGATGCTTTTTGTTAATATCTCATGGCCTTTGCTTTTTTATTTCAGAAATTTTGTGCCTATCTTGGGTTCGCTTCGAACTTGGTTGCGACCGATCTAATCCGGCGTTTGCAGGTGAGTTGTGCATGTTTATCAGCTTATATGGTTTTGATCTTCTGTTTTTCGCTGGATCGTTGTTGTGCGTGTCTGATGCGTTTTGTTATCTAGATTCGGGAAACGGTCCCTTTCAGATTTTTGGATTTTCGATTCTGATTCTTGGAACTCTCTGTGCTGAGGGTACATAAATGTATTATTTGTTTTTCCCTTTGTTTTCATTGCTGCTGAATATTTTTTTTTTGGTTTTGTTTAGGTGAGTTGGGACTTTTTCTGAGCGTGTTTGGGTTGTTAATTGGTGATGCATATTTTCGTGCTGATTTTTGTGGTAGCAATTTTATTTAAATCCATAGCTTCTTCTTTTTATTTGACTTGCTGTGATGGTTATGCTTGATTCATAAGATTTGAGGTAGTGGTGATAAAATTGGAAGAGTGATATCTACGTTATTTTGGATTTGTGAGAGTGATGGGTAAATTTTCGTAAGTAGTGTAGGCTCAAGTTTAATAATCATTAATGCGATTTGGTATGTATCCGGTAAAAAGACTATCAAATTGTAGATACACAGTTTGCAGTGTAAGAAATCCATTCTTATTGAATGTTGTCTTCTTAGTATAAGATGATTAGGTTTAGGTGATTCTGGACTCAGAGAGCAGTCTACATATAGTACTGAAGAAAACAACACGCAGATGATGGTGACTGATGAACCAACACCCTAATCGTTATCTTATAGTTGCATGTTTTCACAGTGGCTAGCTATTCATCATTTTTTTATAGAAGGCTTGGTGAGGGTTTTTGAATTGGATGAATTATTGGAGAGAAATAGACTTGCATGTTTTACTTTACAGATATAATTTGGATTGGTTGAGAGTAACATACAGCTTGCTGTTCAATATATATATGTATATGTGCATGTGTGTGTGTGTGTATATCCTTAAGAGTTAGACCCCTCAAACCCTATCAATTAGCTACCTGGTGAGAAGAAAAATATGGTTTCCAATAGTACCCAAACAGGGGCCAAAATTCTTTTTTTTTACATGTTCATTTTGTTCTCATGTGGGGTTGGATGTCTATTTCGTTTGTTAAAGTTAAGTATCGCTGTCTGTTTTATTTGTGCTAATCCTTTTTTACAGCTCAAAAACCTCTTTGAGTCTTAAAGTGAATGTCAGTGGATAAAACCATATATCAGTTGGTTTGAAAGACATACATTTTGTTGACATGTTTGAGTTTCATCTCATGTGGATTAGATGGGTGTTTGATTTGTTAAGCCTATGGATCCGTTCTGTCTTATTCATATGGATTAATGCAAAATCAAAATAGCATTATCCTGACATATTGTTGTTGACTTGGAGCTTTCAAAACTAATACTACAAATTCTGCTTCCAGATCAACTTATCCACAATTTACAAATACCAAGATCGTTATTTATCTGTGAGTACATGACTAACTTTGCATCCGTTCTGTCTTATTCATATGGATTAATGCAAAAACAAAATAGTATTATTCTGACATATTGTTGTTCACTTGCAGCTTTCAAAACTAATACTACAAATTCTGCTTCCAGATCAACTTATCCACAATTTGCAAATACCAAGATCGTTATTTGTCTGTGAGTACATGACATTTATAAATTAACACTATTATTAACTTTGCTTGCTGATTAAATATCTGTGACCAGTTTGGTGTATTTGCTTTGTTTACTTATTTGATTTGGCGTTGTGCCATATGGATTAAATTGGAGAGCGGGATAATAAATGTTGTTTGGTATATTTTTTCATTGTGATTCGTTTAGATTTAATTTAAAAGAAACTGACAAAAAAATGATGCGCAGTGATATAGAATGCTTAAATTATGATTTCAGTTTTACAACTTTTGTTGCTTCAATTGATAGACGGGTATATAAAGGTAGCTGATTTAAACTCCTACGATTAATTGAGCTTCCTTCATACATCATTGTAAATTTTGACTGATGGAGTGATTTATTTGTGTGTAGTCATTTCTTTGGGTTTTTTTCATTGCACTGCTTGGGTGACAATGATTTGGAGAAAAAATGATGAGAGAAAAAGTTATGATTCATTTAATTTCAGCAACATTTGTATTTGAGCTTGCTTACATGTTAAGGATTAAACCGAATGAGATGTCATCTATCTTTGTCTAAAATGTGAGTTCATTGGTCATCAATGAGCCTGTTGTGTGAAAGTAATGGAGAAACTAAAGAGATGCTGTGAAAGTTATTAAGCTTGGTTAGTGAGGTGTACTGTTTTGTTGAGATTCACTAATTTGGTCATTTGATGTTAATTTCATGGTTTGTGATGGTTGACCGACTAAGATAACTGAGTATGAGCAGTTCATTTTTATTATTTTTTACTATATTTTGACTGCTTTTTTGATCTAATTTACTAAATATTTTTAAATCAATTATGCATCTGCTGACTTTAAAGTATGTTTGTCAGTTTAGTGTCAACTTGAATCGAATTATGTTTGATCATGGTTGATGTTCTTTTTTTTTTTATAAAGGGTTTCAAAAATCTTGGTTATTCTAGATTTTGCCCTCTTTGTTCTTTGCTTTCAAGGTGCTTTGTCCTCAAGGTAATTAATTCAACTCCTGCATTTACTTATTAAAAGTTTAGCCAAACGTTTTCTTTTGATTTTTCTTATGATTGGAATGAATTTGGACATGTTGTTTGCATTTTGTTAGATTGAAATTAAAATTTTGATTTGGTCCTGTCATTCATTTCAAAGGCTTTGTTGTTGTCGTTGTGGTCCTGTCATTCATTTCAGTGTCATGATTATTGTTTTTATGCATGTGTTAGCTTTTTATTGATTTGTTCTTTATTTCCCTTTTGTTTTGCAGTTGTTTCATTTTGAAATACGTGTGACCTTCTGTTTCCTTGATGCCTAAAAAATGTACAAATGATGAAACAAATAATGGTTTAAAACGAGGTAAAAGTGTCGCAGATAGTGAATATAATACATTGGTTGACCATAATGACCAGCGAAAAAGATTACGTAGAGGAAGTTATCTGCATAATTCTGAAAATGTTGTTGCATCCTCCGCTAACACATTTATTTGTGAAAATTCATCCATTAAATATCAGTGTTGCTCCAGTGCATCTTCTGCTGACCAGTTTGTTATTAGGTGTGTAAATAATGAAGAAATCTTGGATACCATTCCGTTTAAAAAAGAAAATTCTGTTTCTGACCAAAAAGGGAAAAATGTTGTTAGTTTCTTGAGCAGCTCTGAAAACACAGTTCAAAAAACCTTAGTTGCTGATAATCGTATTGCCATCAATAAGGGTCAAGCATTTTTTCAGAAAAACAGAAACGGTGCGTGTTAAAATTTCTGCATTTATTATTTCGTTTGGGTAGATCTTTTAACATTTTGCTGCTCCCGTATAGTGATTTTTTTATGTGTTGTTTTTGTAGGGGTTGTTGAACGTTATATGCAGGGCCGGCCCAGGCCCAGTGCAAGCAGGGTGACCGTCCAGGGCCCAAAAAAATTAGGGGCACCAAAATTATTAGGGTGGTATATTTATATATGTTTTTATAAGAGTATAAATTTATAAAATTTGGTTCAATGACACACAAATTTAACTAGAAGTGGTGGTTTGTCATTTGAAAATAATGAGGAGGTCTTGGGTTCAAAACATCATATGTGCTTATTTACTTTCCATTTTTACAAATTTCTTTTTATAAGAGTATAAATATATAAAATTTGGTTAAAGGATCAAGAAGTTTAATTAGAAACAATGATTTTTGTTGTTTAAAATTAACAAGAGGTCCTAAGTTCGAAATGCTATGTGCATGTTTATTCTTTTCAATTTTTACAAATTTTTGTTTGGTTGTTAATTTATTTTTAGTTACTATCTAGTAGCTATGTGGGTTGTTATTTTTAAATATTCGTTTTAATTCAAGTCTAATCTTCAACAAAGAATAATACGTAGACCAAATTTGCAAATTATATGACGTGTCATCAAAATGTTTAATTTAGTGCCCATTCATTAATAATACATATCAATTAAAGACTCGAAAACTTCATTATTTTTTAGTCCCATATTGACAAGGTTAGTAAATAAGAAAAAAACACCTCACGATTTATTCAAAAACACATTCAAAGTTCAAATGGAAAACAAAACTCATCATCTATCTACTTGTAAGCCTGAAGTTTTTTTGTTTCCCTCTCTCAATACAAAATAAATTAGTCTTCCTGTGTTTCTAAATTATTGAGTTTGAAGTGTTTTTCTAAGTATAATTTTTTCGATGTCTTATGCTTGAAAATAAATAATTTTCTTACATGAAGTTAGGGTGATAAAACTTATAAATGTGTTTATTGTGGTGCATACTTTTGGTTAAAAGAGTCTCTTAAATGAAGCTGGAAAAAAAAGGAACCCATTTTTACTCTTTGTTGTCAACAAGTAAAAATAAAATTTTCAGCTCCAAAACCAACACCCATTTTTTTGGATTCCTTGCTTGATCCAAATGGAGGTCAAAAAAGTCTATTTCGAGAAAATATCCGAGCTTACAACTCCATGTTTTCATTTACTTCAATGGGAGCAAAAGTTGATAATTCAATTAATGACGGATTAAGTCCTTACATTTTTAAAGTTAGTGGTCAAGTTTGTTATCTGATGGGGTCTCTTTGACCTGTTGATATTGAAGCTCCAAAATTTGCTCAATTATATGTTTATGACACATATAACGAAACACAGAATCGACTAAGAGCTGTTAATTGTGGTGAAAGAAACGAAAGGTTTGATTCAAAAATTGTAGAAAATTTGATTAAAATGTTTGACGAGTCAAATGGGTTGGTCAAACTTTTTCGAACAGTGAGGGACAAATTTGAAACCGTTGGATTAGTCAATTTAAAATTCACATTGTTAGGAAGACAACCAAATGATAGCAAGCAATACGATCAACCAACAAGCGATGAAATTGGTGGATTAATAGTTGGTGACATAGGTTTGTCTGATTCAAATAGAGATATTATTATAGACTGTAAAAGTGAAGGTTTAAAATGTGTTACAAAATTAAATCCGAAATTTATGGCTCTTTAGTATCCTATTCTTTTTCTGTATGGTGAAGATTGGTATAGACCAGATTTGAAATGGAATGAAAATTATAATGGTCCAACAACAAAAAGACAAAGAATACCTATTAGAGCTTATATAGCTTATCAAATTCAAGAAAGAGATCCGTCCTTAACTACATTGTTAAAAGGAAGTAGACTTTTTCAACAGTATTTGGTATATTCTTATGCAACACTTGAAGAAGATAGATTGGATTACATTAGTCAAAATCAAAAAAAATTAAAAGTGAAATTTACAAGGGAATATACGATGCAATGTTGAGAGGTGACAATGATGCAAATAATTTAGGGCAAAAAATTGTGTTACCTGCTTCGTACACAGGAAGTCCTAGATATATGATTAATAACTATCAAGATGCCATGACTACTTGTAGAGAATATGGTCATCCTGATTTGTTCATAACATTTACATGTAACGTAAAGTGGCCAGAAATTGTAAGAGAATTCGAAAAAAAAACCAAGCTACAAACCTGAGGACAGACCTGATATAATTTCTAGAATATTTAAAATGAAGCTTGATGATATACTTGATTTCATCAAATTTGGAAAGCCTTTCGGAGAGGTTGAGGCAAGTAAGTTTCCAAAAACTTATTCCTTCTCTTATCTTAATTTTTTCCCTTTTTTTGATTCATTAAACTAACTCTTTTCTTTTATTTTGTTTGGGGTTTTTGTCTCTTTCAATTGTCTTTGCAAACAGATGTTTGTACGATTGAATTTCAAAAAAGAGGTTTGCCTCATTCTCATATGTTAATATGGTTAAAATCGAATTTCAAGTGTTACATGGCGTTGGATATGATTCAATTATTTCTGTTGAGTTACCAGACAAATTTCTCAACCCTCAGCTTTATGAAATTGTTAATAATTTATGATTCATGGTCCATTTGGGCATATTAATCAAAATTATCCTTGCATGCAGGAAAATAAGTGTTAAAAAAACTTTCCTAAACCATATAAAAATGAGACAATTTTTGAAGAGCAGGGTTTTCCAGTTTATAAGCGTCGTGATGATGATACAAAATATGTTATAAAAAATGGGATCAAAATTGATAACAGTTTTGTTGTTCCTTATAATGCTAAATTGCTTTTAAGATATAATGCTCACATAAATGTTGAATCATATTGTCAATCAATGCTTATAAAATATTTGTTCAAATATGTAAATAAAGGTTCAGATAGAGCACGGTTAGTTCTTCAATAGGATCCAAATGAAATATTAACATATCTAAACTGTAGATACATATCGCCTTACGAAGCTGTTTGGAGATTGTTTCAATATTCTACACACCATAGGGAACTTTCTGTGGAGCGATTGCCAGTGCATTTACCATTAGAACAAAATATTGTTTTTAGTGGGGATCAATCGCTCCATTCAATTATCAAACAAAATGCTTCTAACCATACAATGTTAACAAGTTGGTTTGAAACTAACAAAATTTATAACGAAGCGCACTCACTCACTTATGCACAATTTCCTTCCAAATTTTTATGACACGCGGAAAAAAATTTGGATACCTAGAAAACAAAAAGGTTCAATAGGCAGAATAGCATATGTGCATCCTTCATTTGGTGAATTATATTATTTACGAATGCTTTTGAATTTGAAAAAATGTGCATTAAGCTTTGATGATTTAAGAACTATTAATGGTGTTATACATCCTTGATATCATGCTGCATGTCAATCATTAGGATTATTAGGAGATGATAAAGAATGGATTGAAGCCTTATCAAGTGTTGTAAATGTAGCGTCGTCTCATCAATTGCGACAATTGTTTGTTACAATAATTTTGTTTTGTGATGTGGGAAATCCTCAAATTCTTTTCGACACTCATTGGCAAAACATGTATGATGACATTTTGTACAATTTGCGAAAAAATTTTGCGATTCCTGATATGATCATACCACAGGATGAATTAAAAAATTTTGTATTGTTTGAGTTAGAATTACTTTTTAATAATGCATCAGGTTCTTTGGCCAAATATCATTTACCAATGCATGATGCAACAAAAATGTTGGAAATTAAAAATAAACTTTTAAGAGAAGAATTAAATTATGATTGTGAAGAATTGTCAAAAAAAACACACATTTTTAAAATTGCAACTTAATGAAGGTCAAAAATTTATATATGATTCTGTTATAGATGTTGTAGATAAAAAAAAAGGTGGTCTATTTTTTCGTTTACGGTCATGGAGGCACTGGAAAAACTTTCTTATGGGATGCTATTATAAGTAAGCTTAGATCTGAGAGAAAAATTGTTTTAGCCGTGACATCATTAGGAATAGCTTCGTTGTTATTACCAGCTGGTAGAACAGCGCATTCCAGGTTTAAAATTTCTTTGGTCCTTACTGATTCTTCAATTTGTGTAATAAAAAAGAAAACTCATCTTGCTACATTAATTGAAAAAAAAAACAGATCTAATTATATGGGATGAAGCACCTATGAATCACAAACATTGTTTTGAGGCATTAGATAAATCTCTTTCAGATATTATGTCCCATTTAAATGGTTTAGAAAGTAATGTTTCTTTTGGTGGTAAACCTCTTTTATTAGGTGGTGTTTTTCGGCTAATATTACCTGTTATACTCGGAGGAAGCAAAGAGGATATAATAAAAGGAAAACTAATGAAAAATGTTTGAAAACTTTGAGTTTTAACGATACAACAACAACAACAACAACAAAGCCTTTTCCCACTAAGTGGGGTCGGCTATATGAATCCTAGAAGGCCATTGCGCTCGATTTTGTGTCATGTCCTCCATTAGATCCAAGTACTCTAAGTCTTTTCTTAGGGTCTCTTTCAAAGTTTTCCTAGGTCTTCCTCTACCCCTTCGGCTCTGAACCTCTATCCCGTAGTCACATATTCGAACCGGAACGTCAATAAGCCTTATTTGCACATGTCCAAACCCATTTTGTGTACGTGTTGATGCTTCACCGTCCAACATTCTGTGCCATACAGCATCGTCGGCTTTATTGCCGTCCTATAAAAATTTTCCTTGAGCTTTAGTGGCCTACGACGGTCACACAACACGTCGGATGCACTATTCCACTTCATCCATCCAGCTTGTATTCTATGGTTGAGATCTCCATCTAATTCTCCGTTCTTTTGCAAGATAGATCCTAGGTAGCGAAAACGGTCGCTCTTTGGTATTTTCTGATCTCCGATCCTCATCCCTAACTAATTTTGGCCTCCATTTGCATTGAACTTGCACTCCATATATTCTGTCTTTGATCGGCTTAGGCGAAGACCTTTAGATTCCAACACTTCTCTCTAAAGGTTGAGCTTCGCATTTACCCCTCATGAGTTTCATCTATCAACACTATATCGTTTGCGAAAAGCATACACCAAGGAATATCATCTTGAATATGTCCTGTTAATTCATCCATTACCAACGCAAAAAGGTAAGGACTTAAGGATTGTTGATGCACAAAATCAGTGAGGACTTTGGTACAACAGAAAGTATTAAGTTTGTGATCTTCACTAGATTGCTCTGGTC